CCCAGAACTTGTGCTGGTGGGGGTGCTGGAGGGGCTAGGCTGGGGGGTGCGGGTTGCCCCTGAACTTGAGGTGCTGGTGGAGGTGCTGGAGTCTGTCTTCAAACTCAGGGGGGTGGAGGAGGTGTTGGGCGGTTCCGTGGAGGAGTCGGAGTTGAAGAGAGAACTCGGTACAGACTTGCGAGGGAGGGCGTCCAGATCGCTCTCCACAGACCATGACAGGGTCATCATATCTGGAAGGAAAAACACCATCAAGGGGCCAGCAGGTGGCGTGGTGAAGGGCGCTGGACTCCTACATGGCTGACTGCAGTTCGAGTCCCAGACCTGGCGGCTTGCTTTCTGGTCAAATGGAAGAATAATGAATATGGGACCAGTAGATGGTGTTGTGGTTATGTCCCTGGACTCCCAAGTAGTCAACCAGAGTTTGAATCTCAGACCCGGTGATTTACAACTCACGCCAGGGGAACCAGCAGTTAGCGTCATGGCTATGTCGCTGGATTCCCACGTAGTTGACCGTGGTTCATGTCCCGGACCCGGTGGCTTAAAACTCACGCCGGGCGCGTGTGCGTGCGTGCCCAAGATCCCGAGAGGAGAATGGAGGAGAAGGGATTGCGGCGTGGCCATCTCCCCTGGGGGGTGATCTCTCACTTTCTGTCTCTCTGTCTCTCTCTGTGTCTTGGATAAGCACATGTGCCCTATAGCAACAATACTAAAAAGAGGGCCGGCAGGTGGTGTAGTGGTTAGAGGCACTGGACTCCCACATGGGCTACCTCGGTTCAAGTCACAAACCTGGTGGCTTTGCTTTCTCACTTTCCCTCTCTCTGGTCAAGTTCAAAAATAATGACACTGAGGGACCAGCAGTTAGCGTAATGGCGTTGTCGCTGGACTCCCACGTAGTCAACCGTGGTTCAAGTCCCGGACCCGGTGGCTTCAACTCACGCCGGGCGCGTGTGCGTGCGTGTCCAAGATCCCGAGAGGAGAATGGAGGAGAAGGGATTGCAGCATGGCCATCCTCCCTGGGGGGGTGATTTCTCGCTTTCTGTCCCTCTGTCTCTCTGTCTGGTGAGTGCATGCGCACTACAGCAAAAACCTCTCTAAAAAAAAAAAAAGAATTATTCATTTAAGTGCTGGCAGGTGGTGGTTAAGGTGTTGGACTCCCACATGGCTGACTACAGTTTGAGTCCTGGACCTGGTGGCTTGCTTTCTCACTTTCCCTCTCTCTCTCTGTCCCTCTCCAGTCAAATTTAAATAATTTTTAATTTTCTTTTTTTAAAGATTTTTTTTTTGGGGGGGAGAGGTTTTCTCTATAGGGCGTGTGCGCTCGCCAGACAGACAGAGAGAGACAGGGAGACAGAAAGCAAGAAATCACCCCCCCAGGGAGGATGGTCATGCCGCAATCCCTTCTCCTCCATTCTCCTCTCGGGATCTTGGGCATGCACGCACACGCGCCCGGCGTGAGTTGAAGCCACCAGGCATGGGACTCAAACCGCAGTCAACTACATGGGAGTCCATCGACATAGCCATTGTGCCAAGTGCTGGCCCCAAGAATTATTTTATTTAACTTAATTTTTGAAATTTAACTTTCTTTCTTTTTCTTTATTTTGGCTAGAGAGAGAGAGAGTGAGAGAGAGAGAGAGAATGAGAAAGCAAGCCGCCAGGTCTAAGACTTGATCCAGAGTTGGCCACGTGGGAGTCCAGTGCCTTAACCACCAGGATACTTGCTAGCCCCTTAACTTTATTACTTTTTTTAGAATCATTGTATTTAACTTTATTTATTTATTTACTTTAATTTGACCAGAGAAGGACAGAATAAATGAGAAAGAGAGAGAAAGAAAGAAAGTCACCAGGTCTGGGATGCAAACCACAGTCGGCCATGTGGGAGTCCAACACCCTTAACCACCATGTCACCTGCCAGCCACCCCGTCTTGTTATTATTTTTTAATTTGACCAGAGAGAGACAGAGAGAAGGAGGGAAAGCAAGATAGTAAGACACCAGGTCTGGGACTCGAACCACAGTTGACCATGTGGGAGTTCAGAGCCTCTAACCACCACACCACCTGCTGGCCCCTACAATAATTATTTTAAAAGAAAAGAATTATTCATTTAATTTTATTTACCATCATTGTTTTTTATTTCTGGCCAGAAAGAGAGAGAGAGAGAAGCAAGCTGCCAGGTCTGGGACTCGAACCGCAGTTGGCCATGTGGGAGTCCACCACCTTTAACCACCGTGCCACCTGCCGGGCTACTACTTCTTTTCTCAATGTATTTATTTAGTTTATTTTACTATAGGGCACATGAGCTCTCCAGAGAGAGAGACAGAGACAGTGAGAGGGAAAGCGGGAAATCGCCCCCTATGGGGAATGGCCACACCATAGTCTCTTCTCCTCCATTCTTCTCTCAGGATCTTGGGCACGCACACACACGCAACCGGTGTGAGTTTAAGCCACCGGGTCCGAGACTCAAACTGTGGTCAACTCCATGGGAGTCCAGCAACGTGACCATTATGCCAACTGCTGGTCCCCAACATCTATTCATTTAGGGGCCAGCCAGTGATAGTTAAGCCACAGAATCCCATATGACCGACTACACGGTTCGAGTCCCGGACCCGGCGGTTTGAAACTCATGCTGGGCGCATGTGTGTGCGTGCCCAAAAATCTCAAAAGGAGAATAGAGGAAAAGGGATTGCAGTGTGACCTGGGGGTGATTCGCCCTGGGGGTGACTTCTCACTTTTCCTCTCTCTCCTCTGTTTAGCAAGTGCACACACACACCCTATGACCAAAAAATAAATAAATTAATAAATAAATATAAATAAAAGATTCCTGGGCCACCTCCCACAATTCACTTCTGACCAGTTCAAGGCAGCTTCGGCGCTTGGGAGTTCATTTATGAACTCTCCTTCTCCACCCGTCTCCACCCTGCCCTGGGTGGTTTGCTGCGTTTCCTTCTGGCCTCACCCCAACAGCAGAAATGCGGAAATGACCCTCAGCCCTTGCCCTGGGAGGGGACTGGGTCCATGTTTTCCCTTGCTTCATTTCTTTCTTTCTTTCTTTTTTTTTTTTTTTTTGCTATAGGGCGCATCATGCGCTTACCAGAAAGACAGAGACAGAGAGACAGAGAGACAGAGAGACAGAAAGCGAGGGACCTGGCGGCTTGTTTTCTCACTTTCCCTCTCTCTCTGTCTCTGTCTCTCCGGTGAGTACACATATCCTACAGCAAAACATTTTAAATACTGATAATAATCAAATTAAATAAATATTTCTTTAAAGAAAACAAAAAAGCCCTACTGTGTGCCTGGCACAGAGTGGGCACTCGTGAGAACCTGGACCGTCCATCAGAAGATTAAAATGCCCAAGTGTCTCCTCTTCCCAGAGACTCTTTCTCTCTCTCTTTTTATAGAATTATCTTATTTAACTTTATTTATTTTAATTTGACCAGAGAGGGACAGAGTGAGAAAGAGAGAGAGAGAAAGCAAGAAAGCAAGCTACCAGGTTCGGGACTCAAACCCGGGTCAGTCATAGTGGGAGTCCAGCGCCCTTAACCACCACACCAACTGGCCATGCCCCCTGCTGCCTCCTTCCCCTTAAACCAGGAGGCTGGTCCAGCCAAACCAGCTGGTTCCAGTCTGGATTTGAAAGAACACCTGGATGAGGGGGCTGGAAAGTGGCATGGTGGTTAAGGCACTGGACACTCCCACCTGGCTGATCACGGTTCAAGTCCCAGACCTGGTGGCTTGCTTTCTCTCTCTCTCTCTGTCCGTCTCTGGTCAAATTTAAAGAAGTAAATTAAACTAAATTAAATAATTCTAAAAAAATAATAAGGACAGTTGGGTACAGCCTTAGTGTTCCGAGCTATGAAGTGGGGATAAATGCACAGAGTTTTCCTTTTTATTTATTTATTTTTGAGAGAGAGATTTTTACTATGGGGCATGTACACTCACCGGAGAGACCAAGCAAGAAATCACCCCCAGGGGGGGGATGGTCACGCCGCAATCCCTTCTCCTCCATTCTCCTCTCAGGATCTTGGGCACGCACGCACACGCACCCGGCGTGAGTTTAAGTCACCGGGTCCGGGATTCGAACCGCAGTCGACTACGTGGGAGTCCAGCGACATAACCATGACGCTAACTGCTGGTTCCCAGAAGAACGTTTAATGGGAGCCATGGTTGCTCAATGCCCAGGGACTGAACCCCTGTTCTCAACCTCCCCCCATGACCCGGGGTGGGGGGTCCTCACCACTCTCCCTTTGGCGGTTGCACTAACAGAAACGGAGGTTTGAAATGAAACCTCCAAGTGGGCGTGGACTGGCACCCATCTCCAGCCTGTTCAGGTCACACTGGGGC